ATTACTCTGATGATGATGCTGTATCTAAAACCCTGAGAAAAGACATGGCTCTCTGGCTGGCAGAATGAGGAAAGGGGCATCTAATGTCTAAATGGGAGAAATTCTGTTATTTTTTTTCTTGATCTTTTCTTTTGCCTCTTTGCCCTGAAGATGGTCCAGTTGTGTAGAACTGTAAAATAGCACAGGGGATTAATACTCTGCAAGAAATTTCTTCTGATCAGAGAAACTGGGAGGAGCCTTGGACAGGAAAAAGCTGGAGAAGGTGGATCCCCTATTATCAGCAAGGGAACTGATACAAGTACCAGCTTTCCTTAAAGCAATGTATGCATGGAATATTCTCAAAAAAGTATAAGAATGTCATTTAAAAGCATAAATACAGGGCCTCCCTAGGGGTTAAGTGGCCTAGGGGTTAAGTCTCAGCACTATCACTGCTATAGCCTGAGTTCATTCCCTGGTCAGGGAGCTAACCCACATATAGGAAAGCAGACCTCTTCTGTCTCACCTGCTGCTTCCCCTAACAGTGTATTTCAGCTGAACTGCCATTCTGCTCCCCACTCTGCCTCTGGTGAATGCTCTCAATCCCCCCCACCTCTTATTTACACCCCAGTTCTTCAGCATAGGTGTATGTGTGTGTGTATATCCCCAACATTTTTTTAATCCACTTCTCTGTCCTTGGGCAATTAAGTTGTTTTCACAACTTAGCTATTGTAAATAGGGCTGCAGTGAACATAGGAGTACATATATCCCTTCAAATTAGTGTTTTTGTATTTTTCAGGTAGATACTTAGGAGTGCAATTGCTGAGTCACATGGTAGATTCACTTTTAATATTTTGAGAAATATTGTTTTCCATAGGGGTCAGACCAGTTCACATTCCCATCAATAATGTACAAGGGTTCCCTTTCCTCCACGTTTTTGCCAACGTGGATGGGACTAGAGGGGATAATGCTAAGCAGAATAAATTAGAAGGAAAAAAGACAAATACCAGATGGTCTCACTTGTATGTGTGATATGGAGACAAATAACAGAGTCAGTCGAAACCAAACCAATAATAAACTCTTAATGTTTGACTGCAAAACTCAGGCAACCAGAGGAGGAGGTTGACGAGGTGGGAAATATAGTGGAAGACTGTTGTCAGTCCTAAAAGTGGGAAGAGGGTAAAAATATATACTTGCAGAGGTTTAAACCTGCACTTCCCAGAGCAGATACAGTGATGTAAACCTGCTTTGCCTCAATAAACATGATTCAAAAAAATAAATAAATAAAACCGTAAGTAAAATATATTCTACTGCCCAAGTCTCAAACTAACTTCTGAATATATCAGGTACCAGGCAGACCCTATTAGGATAGCAAGTACTGAACCATCATCCACAGAAGATGAGACCAATTTTGCAATCAGATCCAGATTGATTGTAGAAAAATTAACTAATTAACAAACTAACTAATTCTCCAAGGATTTTAACAGAGTCCAGAGTCTTACAAAAATAATGTAAAATGTCTAGGATAAAATTCCAAATTATTTGACACAGAAAGAACCAGGAAAATCTGACCAATTTTCATTGGGAAAAGAAAATCAACAGATGCCAAACTCAAAGTGAGTCAGATATTGAAACTGTTAGAAGAATAGTTTTAAGCTGAAATAAAATTCTTCATGAAATAAAATTCAACACTTTTGAAATGAATGCAAAGATGAAAGTTCTTAGCAAAGAAATAGAACCATATTAAACACTCAAATAGAAATTTTAGAAATGATAAAGTACTATATTTGAAATTTCAAAATTCACTAGATAGACTCAAAGGCAGGAAGGAAATGAAAGGGGAAAAAAGTCAGTGAACTTGAAAATAAGATCAATAAAAACAATCTGATAAAAAAAGGAGAAAAGGAATCTCAGGGAATCTGTGAAACATAAAAGATGCACTTCTCATGTCACAAAAAGTTCTAGGAAGAGAGGAGAATGTGATTGGTCTAGGAAAAAAAATTGAAAGACTAGTCACTGAAAATTTCCAAAATTTTATTTAAAGGCATAAATTAATTCAGAGGAGCCAAAAAGATAAATTCAAAGAAAACCATACCCGAACACATAAACAATCAAATTACTGAAGTCAAAGATAAAGAAAAAACATCTTCAAAGCATTCAAAGAAAAATTACACATTGCATATAAGAGAACAGCAATTCAAATGACTGAATTTCTCCACAGGAAGTATGGAGCCAGAAGACAGTAGAACAACATTTTTTATAGTGCTGAAAGAAAGGAACTGTCAATCCAGAATTCTATATTTAGGGAAAATATCCTTCAGGAATGAAGGTGAGATTAAAAAACATTTCCAGATGAAGGGAAGTTATTAGAGTTTTTGCAGCAGATTTGCAAGCTAGAACTCTTAACCAGTAACACTGCCACAACAGTAATCATCACTGAAATAAGACTTTAATATGGGTCGCTGCTGTAGCATTTTACCTGAACTAATTCACTTAATCCAAGATGGCTGGCACTATTAACATCCTCATTATATAGAAGAGAAAATAAAAACAAAAAAGATGTTAAACCAGTAAGTAGTAGAGCAGAATAAGTAGTAGAAGTATAAGTAGCAAGTAGTAGTATAAGTAGTAGCAGTGTAAGTAAGTATAAGTAGTAGCAGTATAAGTAAGTATAAGCAGTAGCAGTATAAGTAAGTAGTAGAACAGAATCAAAGTAATCTGGCTAGAGATGATCTTATCTATTCCTTCAGATTTTCTTCCAACTTACTTATACAAAAAACCAGGAAGTAGATGAACACCATTTTAAACAGATTAATGTTGTTTAAAAAATTGTTTTTCTTTTATACTGTTGTCTACAGGTAAAAACAGAAGAAAAAGCACCAACTTGATGTATTCCCTTACCTTGAAAAAAATTCTACTAGCAGTAGGATGAAACATTGATTTGTTAATAGTAACCATAACACTAAATATTTTTTAAGTACTTACTAAGCCAGAAGTTGTTTGGGGGTCTAAAGGACGTAGAAATGAATAAAATTAAACTTCTCCTCTTAAGTATTTTATACAAATTAGGTGCAACAGACAAAATAATTATAATATGGTTACTATGCTGTGCATGTATTTTAATTTTCAAAGCCTTCAGCATAAAGATGATATACTTATTCCAGATATTTGGGTTCTGATGATTAATTTTCCACTTACTCAGCAGTCCAGTATGCAGTAATTATGTGTATTCAGAAGGCAGAGAAGTAGTTAATCCAGAATTATTTTTCAGTGAGACAAAAAGTGGTATTTCCATGTTGTATCAAGAAAGATACAGTCAATTTGCAACCTTTACAGGTGCAAAGAAAAAGTTCTCCAGTTAAATTGTGAGATCCTTAAGTTGAGGACCATGCCTGTTTTCTTTCTATCCTTCATATCTATAGTGATAATAGGGTCTGGCAAATATAGCATTATGATTACTGAATCAAATTTTTATATTAAAAAACTAACAAAGGATGAAGTTTAATTCTTTCTGACTATATTCCTTATATACTAAAAGTTATCTTATGTTCAAAATCCACAACTAAATTCCCTAGAGAAAAGGGATCAAAAGTGACATTTGAAAAACGCATTTATATAAGTACGGGTTAAAAAGAACAGCATAAAAGAATCAATGTGAGTTCCTTAAAAACCAGCATGAAATTTTAAATTTAAAATTTCTATCATGCTATTTTAATTATTTCTGAAAATGAACCGTCATAAAATAGTATAGCAAAGGCAATATAATAACTAACGTTTCATTTACATTTTCCCTGTAGCCGTGCTTAAACTTAGTTGGGCATAAACTTAGTCAAAGAAACAGAAAGGCCATTATGGCTCACATTCCATACATTAAATGAATATATTTATTTTTATATTCATATTGCACACTGGACCAATAATGGATATAAATAATAATTGTGATACCTTGCAATTATAAATTTGCTGTGCATTTTTATGTTGCTCTGAGAGCAATTGTCTATTAATGAATGGTTATTAAATCAACATATAGTTACTAGGCTGATAATTCTGTCTTCCATTTATATGATGTATGTTGTACTCATTAAAGGTAATTTTAATCTAGGAGGTGTTGGAATAAATAACTGAACCACCAAATCAAGGATGGATGTCAACAAAGGTACATCTATACTAACAAAGCCACACTTTAAAATACGTTAATGTAATATATAGCAGATTCTTGAATAATAGCTTCATTAAATGTCATTTCATTACTGTTGTTGAGAAAAAAGGATATCCCAGCCAACAGCCAATGAAATGTCATCGGAGGATCTGATTTTATTATGTGTTCTAAAGTCACAGATTCCAGCAACTTTTTGATGGTGTTACATGAGAACTTACTGCACTAATAATATTAATCAATTAATATGTTAATTGTTAATTAATTAATATACTAATCAACATTAACACATTGATTAACAATTAATTAATGTTGCAATTAATTAATTATGTTAATATGTAACAATTAATTAATATGTAACAATTAATTAATATGTTAATTAATTTAACATAACTAAATACAGTAATCAGCCAAGAGTTCAAGTTTATAAGAATGAATCCAACTTTTTTAATGACCACGTATGAATGTCTATTTACAAATTAAAAGTTTCTAACTTGTGAGAACAAATTATTTTAAAAACTCTACTCTTTAGTTTTATTAAATTAGTATTAATGACAACTGGTGATTACAAATCACAAAAAAGAGTAAGAATTTTACATTATAATAAATTGAATTCTGTGTTAGGACTGACAACTTTTAGCAAAAATATACTTTTTAAAAGTTTAACATGATATACAAAAAAAATAAGAAGAGAGAGTGAGAGAGAACTTAAATGGTGGCAAAAAATTAGACAAGCCACTGAGACTTTTAAATCTGGAAAAAAGGGGGGTACACATAGTGTTACGATTATTGTTTTCAGGTTTATCAGACTATTACAGTGATTAGTAGTATGGGATTAATCTTTGCAACATGTTGGTGTCTTTCTTACCTAGAGAGCATGCCCAGAGGTGTAACATTAAGTGATCCCATCAGCATTGCCAGGGCCATCCCTGGCGCTTCCCGTTCTATTACTTCTTTTGTGGCCTGTAATTAAAGATTAAATAGCAGACTGAGTGAAATTAGTCAAAGGAAGGAAGGCAGAATAGTAAAATTAACTTAAAAATAATTATAAGTTATGTTTTCTATAAACTATACTTTGTAGCCAAGAAAACATTGTTTTAAAGGCATGAAGACAATTCTTGGGGACCACCGAACAAAGTGAGGACAGGGACTTCCCATGAACTTTTACATTAGCAGTCATTTCTTCTCCTTTGCAACTCTAGGTACTTCACATTTTACATCTCACCTAATAAAATATATTTAACAATGAAGCTTCAGATTGCTGTAATAGCTCAATAGATTTTCATAGGGTAATAAATTTGGATATTTATTTTGGTTATTAGACTTAAAAAAAACTAGTTCCTGAAACCTAAGATCATCTTGTATCTCTCTTAGCTCTATGATTTTATTATAGTTAAAAGGAACTCAAGATGTCACCAAGCCAACTTTCCCAAAGAACTGGGTAGAAGAAACACTTTAGTGTTAGCACCTACATATCTTTGGTATAAATCAATTGTTTTGAAAAAGAATAAAGTGATAGGTTATAACAGACGTTCTAAGATAGGTCATTTTTAAGTATGGTTAAGTCTTAATAAAACTAATGGAGGAGGCAAGAAAACATTTCATGTTATAAAGGTCAGTCCAAGTAGATATATATTTAACATACTGTGATGATAGAGATATGTTTTAGACTGAAGGTTGAGAATGAAATACAGAATTGAATCCACTTCTAATCCTCTGTTTCTACAAGTATAATAGGTTATAATAATTGGGCACAATATGGGAATAAAGCTTGCAAAATAAAGTATTGCAGTAAATAAGAAGAAAAATGAAATAATAAGTAAATTATGGAAGAATAGGAAAAGCCTGATATGTCTATATTTCATTTGAAGTAGAATGACAGTCCTAAAAAATCCCTGGCAAAATTTAGGTTGAGGAAACTTGGCAAAGCAGTTAAAATGCATCAAGTATACACGAGATGCCAATTGATGATATAAACTTTTAAGATGTATACAAATTGGTTAGTCCCATATAATCTCACAGAAAAAAAGGATTATCAGAATTGATGTAATATATAGGTCCACTGAATCCCAGCATAATGCATTATTTAACAATGGCAGAAAATTTAGAGAAAAACTAATTTAGAGGAAACCATATTTCCCCCCTAATAAAGTCTGCTATAAAAAGAAAGGGTCAATAGGCATGAGATAAGAAAATTCTTAAATTCATAATTCTGGAAGTAAATTACTTTCTTTTAAATGTATAGTTAGATATTAACCCAAACTCCATTCATTACCTAACATGTGATGTTTCACCATTATGTGGTTCAGATCACCAAATCTCACCAATAAATTGGTGTAGGGGATGCAAATTTACAAATATTTGTATTTGATTTTTACATATTGCTACTCCAAGGAAGAAAACTAGTCACTTTTCACGTACATATTATTTAAAGATTTATATATCTCTTGACAAGTCCCCTCTCAGTTCCCAGGACTGAGTCAAGGAGTAGATTAACAACAAAAAACCTGGAGGTATCTTGTTTTGATTTACTCTAAGCAACTACTAGCTCATGAGCCAAAGAGAAGCTATGAACAGAGTCACATGAAGTAGATTCTCCACATCACTATTCATGGAACTCAGAAGGTAATTGTGGGAAATTCTAACACCAGGTAAAAAGCCTCTTTATAAAAATGTAATCTGCAATACAGATTTTTTACAATGTGCTTATTAATAAGTGAAGTTATGGGATGAGAAAAAATATGTACTAGTGAACATTGCAAAGCTAGTATTTTCCAGAATCTATCCCTTGTTTTCCAAAATCAAAGTATTGGTATGATTTTGAAGTCTCTTGAAAAGAAACCCTATTTCCATGTTATTAAATGCTTTATTGACAATTACAATTTCTTCTTAGGGATGTTAAAATCATAGAGCCCTAATAATCAATTTGGGTTGTTACTGAGAACAACTATAAGAGAGCTCTTTGTATAGGGTTAATATTTACTTCAAATCTCACTTGAAAAAGTCACATAAAAAATGAATGACAATTAATTTGGTGGTCCACATAAAGATGATGTACTCTAAAGTACAGGCAGCACATTTTAAGGCTAAAAGAAGGAAGTACCAAGCGATAGCACAGAGTTTTGTTTAAACAGATCCTTTAAAGCACATTTATCCATTACACAACAAATATTTATTAAGCACCTTTGATGTATTAGATATTCTAGGCAGTGCTCTGATGTTGCAGTAGTGACTAAAACAAACTTCTAAGAGGCTATAAACTCACTGTCACCTAGTATATGAAAAACTCAATATGCAAATTACATGTGAGAATTACCTAAAACAGGTGCAATATTTTTTTTATATGTCCTAAAATATATCACTGGATTTAGCCCGACCAATGTGGTTACAGGATTGCCTTATTTTACTTTCCAAAGAATTATTTTACTGAACTTTGCTTTTGTGGTAAGGAACCGGATCCAATGAAATGGTCCAGTGAAACTCATAGGTATATTAGGAAGCATTTAAACCATTGTTCATCACGTTGCACTGGGTCCTCTTTTGGAATATCTAAAGGAAAAACTTCCCCTTAAATGTCATAAGTAGGAGTGCATACTCGTCATTCTACCAGTTCCCTGTTGAATTATGATGCCTATGAATCAAATTACTCTTGAGAACAGAGACAAATTTGCCGATACCTTGCCGATTAGACTTGCTGAACACAATCTAATTTCGTCTTATTTTTCCCTTGTCCTATTTTCCACATTTACCTTATTAATATTCTGTTGTTTCTTTTGAATTTTGGTAAACCACCTTAACAGTTTTAGTGCATTAATAAATATATGGATGATGAATGAATCTACATATTCTTTATACAGAGGACTTCATCTTTTCCCAAACACAGTTCATGTAGCATCATTAATTCATTTTGAAGACTTTCTAGAGAATTTGGGCCGACAGACACATAACTTGTATATGTTAGAACAAAAGAGAAAAACATAAATTGTGGTGATGTCACTGAAAAGATTTGGTGCTGACAGTGGTAAAAGAGGAGATTGTTAGATTCTCTTTAGGACAAGACATAAAACACTCTTTTTGATAGGGTGTTCCTAAATAATACACAAATTAGATTCTTTTAATTTTTTTTATTGAGTATCATTGTTTTACATCTTTGGTAATATTTTGACAATATAGGGATTTCTCCTCTTAGGTGAGGTCATTGTAGCTCTCCCACTACCAAAGCACCCATAATCCTCTGCCATAGTCTATTATGCTTCCCTCCTCTCTACCCCCGTTCCCATTCCTCCCCTCTCTCTAGATTCTTTTTTACATGTATATCAAATATATCTTTTCTATAAAACACAAGAACTCTTGTTTCCTTATTTTCTCTTCTTCTTAAGTTGTTTGGTATAGCAGAAAGATCATCTGTAAAGTCACATAATACACCACACAGTTAAGATACATGAGAGTAAGGGCTAGATCTGTTGTACCACCTAATATAGTGCTCAACATACAAAAGTATATGCGTTCAATAAATAGCTGAATAAAATGAATTAATGAATAAATAAACCAATATAGATCTGAAACCTGGCTTCATCACCTAGTTGCTCTGTGAATTAGAACAAAATATTTAACCTCTTTGAGCTTCAGTGAACTTATGAATGAAATGTAGATGATAAAACATACCTACAGCATATAAATTAAGTAAGAAAATTACCTAGCACATAAGAACTCTCTTTGCCTCTATTTTCCAGAAGTCCTTACATCCTTACAGATTTGATTATATCAGTTAGAGAACAGAATGATACCAAAAATCCAGACAATAAACCTTGAAATGGTCTTGAGAACTAGATATGAGGGGAAAGAGAAAGCAGAATAAGAACCCAACTCTAATAACACTGGTAAGTGGAGGGCAGGAAGCAGCAGGCTGAGAGTGTGGGATTTTATTTTTCTGTCTTTTGTGCTGACAATAAAATAATGGGAGTCAAAGGGAACAAACAGCCAAATGAAGTGGAAATTGGAAGATGGTTAGAAGAGTAAGGCTGTGTGAAAAGATCTATAAACTATATATGGGAAAGCATACCTAGGAAGATAAAGAACAAGAGAATAAAACAATTTAAAATAAGGAGAAAAATTTATCTGTTTAAATTATTAGAAAATCCAAACACAAGAATTGTTTCAACATATGTCACTTTAGCATTTTCAATAATACATGCTAGCAAGACATAGATAAAATCCTACCAAATAAAGGATATTTTGCATGTTAACAAATAGAAAACATACATTCATTATCAATAGACTATTCAGCCTCCCTGGTGATGCGAGGGGTTAAGACGCAACCTATGAAGCTGTTGGCACTCTCTGCAGCACGAGTTCGATCCCCTGGCCAGCCAGGGAGCAACCCACATGGTGCTGTAGACCGCTACTGTCTCGCCCACTGCTCCCCTCAGCAGTGTATTTCAATCAGTCTGCCTGTTCTGTTCCCCACTCTGTTTCTGGTAAATCCTCTCACCCCCCACACCTCTGGCCTGTATCCCAGCTCTAGTAAGCATAAATAAATAAAATATTTTAAAAAAATAGCCTATTCATAATCAATGGGAAAAGGATGCCATTAAAAGTTTGGATCATTTTTCTTTTTTTCCTTTTTTTTAAAGATTTATTTATTTATTTATACAAGCACTGGGTACAGTCAGAAGCGCGGGAGGGTGAGTGAATTTACCAGAGCCAGAGTGGGGAACAGAACAGGCAGACTGATAAAATACACTGCTGAGGGGAACAACGGGCGAGACAGGAGAGGTCTGCGCGCCATGTGGGATCCTCACCCGGGCGGCTGGGGATCGAACCGGCGCTGCAGAGGCTGCAAGTAGCTTCACAGCCCAGTGCTCAACCACTGCGCCACCAGGGGAGGCCCTGGATCATTTTTCTTAATTAAAGTTCTGCTTTCCACTTTATTTTACAATATTTTTTTTCTTGAGCAACAGTGA